AATTCACTCAGGAAGACAGTAAGAAAGTAAATGATTCAACTCATTTACTTTAGGGCTCAGCTTATCATGGGATTTAATGTTCTGTCACATTCTGTGTGAGTTTCTGAAGCTTTAGGTAGGTTTCCAATGCAGGATTGGTGCAGTTCACACATTTTCACACAGTTTGGGATTTTAAACCACAGAGCAGCCTGGAGTCTGTAGAACATGCCAATGTTTTTTTTTTATCCGATGTATTGATTAATCGTCAGAGTAATCCATAGAATAATCTATTAATGTTGGCCTTTCCTGTTTTTGTCAGAAAAAAAAAACAGCCCACCTCCTTTCCTGCTTTGCTCAGACCTCTCACTGTGTGTTCATCCAGCAGACTGCCTTTGAGGTTCAGATATTTGACTTTCCTGCAAAACACACAAAAACATATCAGAGCTAATTCATAAGACCATGGAGGGTTAAGCAGAACAAATGAAGCCAACAAGACGTGCAAAAAATATCTATACAAAACATCTGTTTGTTGTTTTTTTTTTTTTTTTTAACAAAAACGAAGTCTCAAAGCATGATTATAAAGCTGATTCTAAGTACAGGATCTCATTGGAGAGAGGAGGTTACCACCTGCTCGCCCTCCAGCAGCCACTCCATCAACATGTGGCTGCAGTCCCGCAGGTGTGTGTGAAACACACATGTACAACCTTGAAGAAGCTCAAGTGATGACAAAAAAGGAAGAAAAAGAAACAGAATCGTAGTTCCTTAAAAGGAAATCAACAACAAGTGAACACGAAGTTCCTGGTCGAGGCATGAGAAATGTGTTACATTTCAACGAGCGCCGACGTCATCAAAAATCATCAATACATGTTGAAAATGCATTTAGAGTTGTTTCTGAACTATAGTTCGGAAACAACTCTAAAAAGGTGGATTTCGGTCTTGACTTAATGTTTCGTCCAGATTTGTGGCACAGAGAAGTTGAATGCTGCTTCTCCATGTTAGGTTTGCTCTAATTTATCAGAAATTAGAGAAAAGTGATCAGAGGATCTTCAGTACGGCTCATGATACTAAGAAAACATAACATTTCAAAACAGTCGAATAACGCAATTAAAATTTTTCTATTAACCACTCGCTTTTCCGTCACAGCCACGATCACGCTGAAGTGTCAATCCAAAACCAATGTTGAAAAGCTAAATATTAATCTGTTATAGTTACTTGTGTGTCCAAGTAGTCCTGTGTAATTAAAGTGTTAGCCTCTGCATTAAAACTACAATTAGATACATCTTCCCTCTCTCATCTACAGCAGATGTGTTTGTTTTTCACATTCTGAGACAATAAACCGACTTATTTCATGCCACATTAAAGACGTCTTATTCTCTGATCACCTCTTTTATTTTAGATGGTTGACTAATTTAATTCAATTAAGCAGTGAGAAAAAAGCCAACGGGTTGATTGGAAAGAAATTTGGAGTCCCTGTTGTCACTTACTTGTCTTGGAGCTGGACTCTGTGGCCCCAGTTTAAAGATCTGACGTGATTCTGAACGGCCTCTGCCATGGTGGCCCTGGAAACCACGAAAACATCACTTCACGTCAAACACATCTTCACCTGGATTCAGTGGGTTTCTTGAGAAATTAAAATTGTAATAAAACAATGTCATGATGAATCTCCATTCAACAAAAAAAAATGTTTTATTTGAGATGAAAAGAAGACAAAAACATTATAGCAGGCTAACGTTATGATGCAAGTGGTGTCTTTCCCCACTTACACCACCAGATGGCGCCATTAGCTAAAAAAGGATATTTAGGAATCCTGCTCCAAGAGTCCTAAACACATTACAGATTGTGAATTATCCTGGTAAACATCTATTAGTTGGACAGAAGTAATGGAAGATTTAAAAAAAAAAGAAGCATAAGACAGTGTGTTCTGGGGAACGGTTAGCACAAAAATCATTCAAGACAAAAAAAACCCTTCCACATATTTACTAGACTCGGCTCACCAGTCATGGCGGAGAGTCTCTGGCGTCTGCCAGCCGTACTTCTTCGCATCTTTGATTGCAGTACCAAGGAGGGCTGCCTGATGCATGAGCTTCTTAGGAATGCAGCCAACATTAACACACGTTCCACCGAGACCCCATTTCGTTCCTGTTTGGAGAATCACTGGCTACGTTTAAGAGAACAAACCCTCTATGTTTGGGGGAAAAATGGAGAGAAATTTATTTTACCTTTAGCAGATGGCTCAACGTAATCTAAAACGGCGACTTTCTGTCCCAGCTGTGCCGCTGTGGGTTTACAAGTTTACACAGAAATCAGACCGGAAATCTGACAAATGACCGAATCCCTCAGGAAATGTGCTTAAACAGCTTACCTTCTTTGGAGCAGGCCAGGCCTCCAGAGCCTCCACCAATAACCACCAAGTCATAGTCATACCTCCCTGTCAGATGACAATGAATGATAACTACCAGAAACGGGGATCTTTTGTCACATTTTTCTCATGCTACGTCTGCAAGCATCAACACGTCTTCAATGCAACTTTATGCCACAAGCAAGGAGAAGTCAAATAGAACACGAAGGTGGAAGGAAAATCACATGAGCTTCTTACTAATTACTTCTTTCAGAATTGTGGGAAAAGGTTTGGAAAGTGTGGCGTGTGCATGCACTGAGCCACATTTGGTTCCTATTTAGTGAACATGAAGTCAAGTTTCAATCAACATCATATAACAATGACAACCGCATAGGGAAGCCTGTGAATCTTAAGCATCTGACACATTACATACAAGGACTTCATCTAGGCATTTGGATAGTGTGTAGTGATTCCTGTACTACAGGCAAGTCATAATAATGACATTTAATTCACAATAATGTGACTGCTGTAGCCATTTATTCTTGATTTTGATTACATTTGTTCTTGGTGTGCTTTATACTTCACTTAACAAGCTTTACCTGTGCGTTGTTTAATTTCTCTGTTTGCTTTTTTTTGTAAGATAATCAAGGAAGAACTGTGGGGGGCATTTTTCCGAGAAGCACAGATTTACTTTCTTTAACTTCACAGATGTGCAGTACTGCATGTGGGTTTATACAAAAACAAAACATGAAGGAAGTGCAGGGACAAGCTCTAAGAGTTCAGACCATATCATTATTAGATTTGATCACAATGTCAGAGACCAAACCTCAAGATGTTGCAAGGTTTAACAATGCAAAAGAATAACCCAAACTTGTACGACGACAAAAGTAATGACAATAAATGTGCTGATAAGAATGTTTGCATACAGACAGGCGGTGACGTAACGTAACGTTTGCTCGAGTCCTAATGCACTAAGCAGGTTAGCTTCTTAGGAAAACTGCGGTTCTAAAAACACTTGTTTTAGAAATGCTAGTTTTAAAAAGGTTGTTACGTGAAGCCAGACGAAGTGACGTTAAGCTCCCGAAGGATTTGACAACGCAAGAGTCCTTCCGGAAACACAGAAAAGCGTCTAATTAGTGTCAGCGAGAGATTCTGTTTAACAGCGTTCAGTACCGGTAAGGCTTCTGGTGAAAACCTGCAGACATTTCAACCTTTTCCACCGGTGTCTGACTGCGCAGAGGGCAGCCATGATGTTATTATGGAAGGACCCCGGGCCGGATACAGGCGTCTTCAGAATTGCCTGGAATAAATTTAAAAAAAGGTTTAAGATCTTATTGTGTAAGAGTCTCTCAATAATAATAATAATAATAATAATAATAATAATAATAATAATAATAATAATCATTCATTATTTATTAATTTTACATGAACGAAAACAATTCTATGTCGTATGTAAATGTATTAGATTGTGGATAATCCAAGATCTGTTGATTTTTAGACCATACTGTTTTTGTGATCAGTTTGCTGGAGGTCTCATTTGCAAGGAGACAAAACATGTGCAGCAAGGCCAAAGAGTAGAATTCCCAAATCATTGACCACAACTTCAGGTGCATGAATTTGAAAGGAACCATTTTTTTTCCAGTAACTCAATTGACACTGTCTTAAGACTGGCCTTTATAACTTTTAATTATGACAATGTTCTCCTTAAAGCTAAATGAGTAAAGATTAACGTACAACGCAGTCCTGGCTGTATTTTTAAGGGCTGTTTTTAGGATCTAACTAAAACACCTTTTACTGTCTGTGGTGCCCTCTACATCGCTTTGGACAAACTGCAAACTGGACTAAGTGTGTCTTTCTTCTTGCTGCTCTTCAATAAAGGTCTGATGTACTTTTGTTGTTGTTGAGTTGCTCACTTGGTGGCAGGAATAGTCCTAGCCTGTTTGGCATCCTGGGTGAACCACCCTTTCCCTCATGACACCCTGGGCGGTTGCCCACTTCGCCAACATCGGAAACCGCCACTGCTTGGTGGAGCCGGTAGTGTCGCGTTCGTGGATAAATTAAACCACATTCTTGACACGCAGGGAGACTTGCCTGAAAAAAATGTGCAGGATGAAAAACCATAGGAGGAAGAAAACAGTTTTATCCTACTTTAAAGTGGTAGTATGTATTTTTCAGGCACAACAAATATGTTACCTTTAATTGTATATAATAGGTTATACATGTCAAACATTACTTAAAGAAATTTGATGTAATTTAACACCTTAGAATTGGGCCTCTCTCTCCTACTAGCTCTGAAACGTCCGCCTTCAAGAAGTCTCTCCTCTGTTAACCCTTTGAGGTTTTCACTAGCACCAGATGCCCAGCTCCACCAGGTGTTTGCTAATTGATACTGGCTAGTCTGAAGGAGCAGAAGGAGCTCTGTGAGGCGGTTCTGGAGAGGCACGGAAACCATCTCAAAGGAGGCACTAGGTCCTCAAGCGTTTTGCACAGCTGAATCGTTGCCATGGTAGATCACGGGATTTCCTGAACACGGATGAAAGAATGAAGGCAGCGCCACAGGTTTGTATTTGATGAAGGAACGACACCAAGCTCTAAAAAGTCGATTTTACACAACGCTGGCCCTTTAAAGTGCAGGGAGATTGGCTTCAACTTTAAGCAAATAAGACACAAAACCACACAACCCTTAATTTCCAGGCATGATTTATTGAAAACACACCAAATTTATACTCTACAAACCAGTATTTTTCCATTATGTTTAACAAGCGTAATATTTGCCTCTGGGTATTAGTAAAATTAACATATTACATTCTGTCACTGTGGCATCGCTCCTGCTCACTACGAAAGCTCCGACGGCTTTACTTCTCTAGGAAATCAAACCCTTTTGTCAAATGCTCTCTACCTCATTAAAAGTTTATATTACAATGTAAATCAAGGCAGCAACCCGCCAACAGTCTAAACTACTTAGGAGGGGGGCATTGAGGTGGAAGTTGGATAGATGGATGGATGGGTGGATGGATGAGCTGAATGGCGGGGATCAGGGAGGGTAAGGAGTCTGACACTAGGGGTTGGGGAAAGGAAAGGGAATTTGTGGAATGGGAGTTATATAAAACACAGTTCTCTTTATCTAGCATGGAAAAGATTAAGGCACATGATAGGTACAAACACATCTGCTACTCAGTTACTTTAGTTTCACGGTCTTGAATCGGTCGTATCTACACAGGTAGGTTTGTCTTGAATCCGCGTGTTTGTGTGTGTTTGTGTCCGTGGATTTTTCACGGCACAGACGCGTGGCTCTGCGTTCTGCGAATGCGCAACTGTTGGGGGCGGGCTGCACATTCACACAACCGAGAGCCCTTTATTACTTTAGAAATGATGAGCACAATTCCCGATCCTTTGGTTGCGGTAGTGCATTCGAGGAAGGAGGAGAAGGTCGACGCGGGACTTCGTCCGATGAAAGCACGCACGTCTGCCGACACACAGGAGGGGTTGTTGGGGTTATGATGACATTTTCTTTTTTCTTCTAGAAGTCTGGGTTCTAACATACAGGAACGATGCTTTTCTGAAAACTCCACTGATTTTTCTTTTCTTTTCTTTTACCACAACGTACACCTTTGTAAACACTGGAAAATATGCAAGCTTTACAAAGTCACATACATCACAAACAAAACAAAACAAAAAAAGGAATCAAAAATCAACTCGGACTTGAACGCAGGCACATGCCGTTTGCCTTGAGTGAGAGACGCATGAAAACCAGCCGGGGTTAAATTTCTCTGCAATGGCATCGACGATTCTGCATCTTGACTGTAAAAAAAAAATATATATATATATACTGTGAGACCCAATCTTTAATTTACAGCGCTGTCCTTCTCGTCTCCAGCCATCTTCCTGCACGAGCGGATTAAGAAACACCCAAAGACTCCACGAAGAAACAAAAACTGGCACTTGGAAAAGAAATGAATAGAATATAAACATCTTCATGCTCACAACTGGATCATTTCCTTAAAGACGCAGCAGGTTAGGTGAGTTGGTGGCAATCGAATCACGTACAAACGCATGAGGAAGATATATATATATATGTACTTTTTCTAAAAATTAAAAATCATCTCTTGTTCCTGTTTTGAAGACACAGGAGCTGCCACGGAACACAGATCCAGATTCATTTTCCTTCCTGTAACCCTTTTCCCACAAATACAAAATATAAATAGGTGATCGCCGGTGTGACTCGACGATGCTTTGACACACGTTTAAGTTATGTAAGAGTTATTTCTCGTTTACAAACAACAGTGGGCCTTCATCAAATGAAATGTGCTTTCCAAACAATGTGATATTAATATACAGGTAAGAAATCTGATTTTTTTTTTTTTAATCACAATTTTTCCTTTTTTTGTTTTTTTTTATCTGATTCTAATATACATTTATATAAAATCCAACATAAATGATTTTAGACGAATCCTCATTATTGTTATTTATCATTACTTTTCTTTTTCTTTACAGTCTGCTTCTCCTCAGAAACACAGATCCATTTATAAACATAATGCCTTGAATCCTCTTCGATGCACAACACTGACGAACAGCGAGCGGCCGGGAAACTCGCCGCGCCTCGCCGCGCCGCTGCACAACCTGAGAGTGTCACACGAGAAATGGCGGCCGCGTGAGCGAAGCCGGTGAGGCTCGCACGGGACGGAGGAGAGAGACCCTCCTCCGATTTGGTTTCGGAACCGTTTGAGCTTTCTGTGTGAGGGATGAAAAACTCCAGTCTTGGTCAGAATGTCACATGTTTTCTCCGCAGATCCCAACTTCCAGGTTCTTGACTACTGATCACCTGACACACAATTCTGAAGCAAAAGCAGTTCTGTTTTTTTGTTTGTCCTTGTGTTTTTGTATAAAAAAACAAAACAAACAAACAAAAAAAAAAACACAGTGAACCCAGATGGATTTTGTTTCTGTTTTTTTAGTTCATGAGGACAAACTCTTTACTCTTTCCCTCTACAATGCTGTGGCTCCTCTCAGGCTCGGTTATTTCCTTTTGTTTCTCTCTGCTCTCTTTCCCCAACTCTGACCACAACGACGTACAACAGATCCATGTTCTCCAAAACTCCCTGCACCACACCGTAAAGACAAAAAAGGAGCGTCCTTCTCCCGTAGCCTTTCATCACACGTTCCTTTTCCCTCTGTTTCGCTTCACTCTTCCTCTTCTTTTCGTCACACCCCGCCGGCCTCCGTCAAATTTACTCTCGGAGCAAGAGTCCGCACTGGAAAATTCATATGATGTCGAGGAATGTAGATATGACCAAGTAGGAAGTGTCATTACTCTTTTATATATATATATATCTTCTTTTTTTTCTTCTTCTGAAAAACTGGACTGCTACTGGGTAGTCTCTGTTATGGCCATATTCTTTTTGAAATCCTCTTCTCTGTACAGTCCCTCTCCAAAAATGAGCTCCTGTGAAATGGCAGTGGTGATATGAGAGATCCTCTTGTAGCTGGGGATGTCTTAAGCCTGAAACACATGGAGAAAGGAAAACAAATATTAGGACAATCCCAGCCGATGGAAAGAACAAGAAATTAATTAATAATAATTAATTAATTAATTAATTATTAATGGAAATATGTTGAATGGATGTGATGTGTTACAAAAAAGAAAAAAAAAGGAGTGAGCTCTACTACTTTCCCAAAAGATTCTTCATTCTCCAGACTGCTGAGTCTGTCTAATATATTTAGTGACCTTGGGTGACATATTTAGTCTTTCTAATGAGCCATAAATGCACAGTGACAACACCTGCTCTTCTTCTGTGAATTAAAAACTGTCAACAATCAGGAAAATGCTAAAAATAGAGTCGGAATAGGACCGTTCCAGTTTGTCCATCATCTCTGCTGCGATTACTTTGAATTAAAAAAAATAAGGTCGAACGAGGTTTGCAACATGGCATGGCAATTTCAGTAAAGAGGCGTCAACCAAAAAGAAAAATCTACATTAACTTTCTGTTCAATATTTGTTTGCTTCTCTTGCTGTCTTATTGTTGAACAGTATGAAGCTGAACATAGCAAACCTGACAGCTTTCAAAATTGTTGAGTGTTTCAACTCAGGTCAAAAATAAAAGGCAAACTCCTGTTGTGGATTTTGAATTCCTAGATCCGATTCCAGAACCGATCACATCATCAACTTGTCCCGACTCTCAGCCAAATTCTCCAAAATTGTCCTCTATCTCAACTCATTGAAATTAATGTAACTAGATCAAGATGAAAGCCCCATTATCATTGAAATGTTGATATATGCCCTTTAAAAGTCATCACGGTTACTGATTCAGCCTTAGCAGTGCAGATGACAGCCAAACATGGCCAGACAGATGCTTCATGTTCTGGATGAAATCCTGTGAGAACACAACTTACCTTTCTTTGGTTTTTTTTTACTAAAAAGAGGAGGAAAATGTACCAAAAAAACCCCCAAATGACTTTACTGTGTGAGCTACTATGACAGCACAATGAATGGAAACAAAGAACTGAATGAATGACAGCTAATAAGAAGATGGATGAGGAGGCAGGAGGAGAGGCATGCTGCTGATGAAACAACGAGAAAAGCAGAGGTCACCCCCTGATCAGCTGGCAACCTTGAGAAACTCATTTTGTACGTGTTTGCACCTCATGTTAGTGCAAAAACTTTTTATTGAATAACATATTTTCAAAATTGCAGGGCTTCCCATTTATTTTCAGAATTCCAATTTGTGCAATTTTAAGGTGAATGGAAATGCAAGTACTATTGCTGTCCAGGATGCTCAGCTTTGTCTACACTCATTTTCTTGATTTTCTTTTCTCAAGAAACTTGCAGATGTTCCAGAGTCGTCTCCAGAACAGAACCAGCTGTTTAGCCTTTTTATGTCACTGGATCTGGTCATTTTTAACTTCTTATTGCTTGATGGGTCTCATAAAAGTTGAGTTTCAGCTGATCTGGGGTCCGTTTCAGTGAGCAGTACTGAAGTATGTTTAAGCTAGCTGGTGCAGTGAGAGGTGAGCAACGGGGGGGATAAAATGATGAACCGGGTAGGATGAAAATGGTGCATGGTTGAAATCTAGAAGGTGCAGCGTAATGCTTTAGTTTGGATTTTGGATTTTTCAGGGACCTACCATGCATGCACTTAGACCCAGGAGTCAACAGGCTGAGGTTTAACATCACAAGCGTCCACCAGACTGACCGCAGGCCTGTTACTCCTGATATAGTGTTTCCTATTTGTGTCATTCTGTCGTCACGGGGAGGAGGAGTTAGAAAAAACAAAAAGCAAAAACAAACAAACAAAAAAAAAGGTCAGTACATTTTATATAAAGGCTTAAAAACAGACATGCATCGCATCCAAGGATAAGAGAAGCCAGAGTTAATTTCCTGCCACAAGGAGAGCAAGGAGAAATCAGAAAACAGCAAAACAAAGAAAAACAAATCAACAGTTAAAAGTTGAATTCAAAGCTGGTAGAGGATCAAGTCAAACAAACTGCTTCTATGTAAAGCTATTTTACGCCACAGCAATCACAAAAAAACCTTGCAACACCTTGGAGAAACTGGTTTTAGCTTTTGTAGAAATATTGTTTACTAACAACTCAAACAAAACATGTACATATACATAGTCAGTGATGCAGACGGAGATATTTGGACACAATAACAAGAACAATGTTTGCAGGAGTCAAGGTGAAGCTCACCATCACACCAACTGTTAAACATGGCAGTGTGGGTATCATGCTAAGGAGCCTCGCTGCTAACCAACATCTCTCTGCCCTCCTCTGTAGGTGAGCTACTGCTTTTGACTTCTCAGTCGTTTTTATTTATAATCCGTCCTCCGCCCATACGCCGATGTTTTCAGTTTTTTCGCCCTCATAAAAACTCCCGGTTCTGGAGCAAGTGCACCACCATTCATTTTGCTTTAAGGCTATTTTTAGCTCCCAGATGAGTTTCAGTGAAGTACGCACCTGTGAAATCACCGTTTTGTTCTGGGGTTTTTTTTTGCTGAAGAAGCCTCTAGTTTCCCACCACTCTAGTCTCGGAGCCCGTGAGAAGACAGACGCAGCTGCGCACGCTTGATGACGAACCTTGTTATGGTGCCGTGAGGTTTTGAACAATCTATGTAAGCATCGCATATTACTAATGATCAAATCCGAGGCCCACTGCGGTGGAAGTAAACAGTCTTGCAGCAGAGCGCAAGTCAGATAAGTCATCTGAGGTCAGGCAGAATGGAAAAGGATTCACTTCCTGTCTAAACCTCGTAAAACATATAAATTAATATCAATAATCTGTCACCAATACTAAAAATAAATCAATATTTTTGGGAAAACACGTAAAACTAACTTCTAATACGACTCAGAATGACCTAAAACCTTCCCTCAGAAGTAAATATAGGAACCTTAATTTATGTATGAAGATGAACTGATGCAGGCAGACTTTTTATTTTCCCACAAGGCCAATCTCATCCATCACATACTTAACTGGATGAAAACTAAACAGCCAAAAAGTACTTGAAAGTCACCAGACATGTCGGCCGTCCTCCGCGGCTACCATCTTCTTGCTCTGCCCGACAATAAACAAGCTCCGGCTGCATAATCAGCAGACGACCTCTCGACAGTTCGCCGGCACGCTGATTTCTGTAACAAGGCTCGTCTCCAGGAAAGCGTGGTTGTTGGCGGTTCTTTTAATCAGCCCCAGATTAATTGCTTTATGGACTCCAAAAGCTTACGGGCAATTAACTGGTGTCTCAAAGATCTGAGGGCGTCCGCAGCGCTGAGCTGCGGTGGCAACATTAACAGCGGATGACGACTTTCCAGCCTGTTTGAAGAGTCGATAGAATTAAGAGCTTCTAATGAGGACCGCCGCAGAAAGACGGGAAAGACACACGGGCAGAGGACAAGGGAGGATATTTCTGCGTGACATCATCGTTGGAGATGAGAGGAGACTTGTGCGTACCTTTAATGGTTCCCGTTCTGTCAGGTCCACCGACCCGTCGTCTGTTTTGTATTTGCAGTCCTTGTCCCTCTGGTCAATGGTGGAGTAGCCGTCTGATGAGATCAGAAAACCGTGGTCAGCTCGTTCCTCTGCGCGTTGTCATTTGTTTAAAGATTTCCAAGACACAGAGACAAAGCCTTTTCCTTTACTTACTGGAACGGTTTTCCAACATAAACAAGAAGATTACACATGCGTCTGCACTCACAGTTTGAGGTAATGGGCCCTGAACACAAAATGGATGGTATGTCTGTGTTCGGAAAACACTCGGGCTATTTCGGGTCAAAGTCTAATCAATTTTCCATAGTTGGATTTTGGCGTTCCAGTCAATAGATTGTCAAATTGTTTTACACCAGTCATTTTTACACTGAAAACTAACAGAGTGCACACTGGTTGTTTATGGAAAATCCATTTCTAGAGACAGATTGAGGAATCACCTGTTGACTTGAGTCGGATGCCTTTCAGCTTGATCAGCCTATACCAGGGACCGATGTCAGAACGGCAAAAAATCTGATCTTTTTTTATGATATGTTAACACGACATACCCAGGTGCCACAAAATGGATCTACTAACCACGGATGACTTCCATCTGGAAGTCGTTACTGAGCAAAGTTGCATATTTTTCAAGGATTGCCATACTAAGATGCTAATGACAGTTAAAAAACACAATGTTTTTGGTGAAAGACTGTTTTGGTTGATTCATCTCCCCATCTGTCTGTCAGACGGCTTTCTATGGAGTCCTGAAATGCTAGATGTGTGTGGGAGAGCACAGCTGAAACACTTGTTGAGTTTTATCACATTCCATGCAAAACACAGAGTTAATGTAACATAAGGATTATTTTTTGTAGAATTGTAATGAACAAAGATGTTGTAATACTGTGGTAGACTTTCCAAAACTTTTTCAACTGTGACTGCAACATATGTAAAACACAACAAATAGATTCCTTTCCTGAACTCAAAACACGTTGTTCTTGAGGACTTAAAAGTACTGGAGTATAAAGTATCGGAAAACGTATCGATACCGGAAATATTGGATGCTGGAGAAAAATTAGTAGTAAGATAGTTCCCTTTACATCTGAGGGCTGCTATATGACCCAGCTTCTCTAAAAGTGTCCTATCACCAGTGGCACAATGTACATGGTGATGTGACACCTCTCAGACAAATGGTGCCTGAAAACAATACGTGCCATTTGGAGCAAAGATGTAAACAAACAGAGCAGGAGAGGCAAAATGCTGGAGCTTTTCAGGGTGATGATGGCCACAAACCAAAGAATGCGAACGGAGAGTGTGAAGACGCGCGTGTCACCGAATGGATGCAAAGAGAAAAACAGCAAGCTGCCAAAATGTGGGATGGTAATCTGTTGCTTTGCTACTGGCATTTCAGTCAAAAAAATGTTTTTTTATAGCTAAATTACTCCCATAGCATTTTGGCTCCTACAGCATAGCACAGATTTAAAACACGATTCTTACAAGACCTTTTTAATCTTTCATAACAATATTCTTTTACCATGTGATTGAATTTGTAGTTGTGGTTAAGCACAAACTCATTTTCTCGGAGAGCGAATTCGATGTTCCGATAATAGCAGAAAGAAAAGTTTGGTTTTGGCCTTAAAATTTACATTCTTCTCGAGAACATTTAAATTTCTTTCCACTAAAACCAACCTGGATGTAGACTAATACTAGTCTACATCCATCCCTAACAAAAACCAAAGCCTCATTTCCACCTTACCTTCTGACCCCTGACTCTGAACAAGATCATTCACAAAATCAGAACGAGATTTTGGTCCCCATAAAGTCCGTCGGTCTTCAGAAGATCAGTAAGTACGTCAGAAAAGATCCAAAATAGGATAACTCGACAAGTACACACACGCACACACACACACACAAACCTTGGTTCTTCTCCATCAGTGGCAGAGTGGTGTCATCATAACCTGGTTTACCGTTCTTGGTAGCTTTAGGTGTGGCCGTCACAGTGGGCTGAGTAAAAGAGACGAAGCAAACAATGTCATGATACATTTTAAACAGCTTTTGAGGACATAGTTGTAATTATTCTACAGATTGATGAGAGAACAAAATGATAAAGATATAACATTTTTCTAAACTCTTTAGGTTTAGGATCTTGGCTGCTAAGATAACAAACAGGTGTTGGCGTCAGGAATAGTGACAGGCAACTCTATGAATGCCAAGCATTAGAGATCCATCAGTCAGCCACAGATCACAATCCCAGTTTGACTTCCCCAGGTCAGCTCTGATCAGTGACTGGCAGATAAAACACTGAAAGTTGTTTCCTACTGATTTGCTGGATCCAAACTAAGAACTCCAAAACTTTTTGTTGATAAAAGCGAATATTACAGTCCCTTCCATCTACTTCTACTGTGTGCAAGTAAAAATCAGATAAAGCTCTTTAAGTTCAGTCCATTTGCAATTTGAAGGTTAGGGATGTCTGCCATGTAATCTCTTCATTTCTTTTAGATTCAAAACCACTACTGCAATCTAAAAAGTAGATATTTTTCCTTTCTGTTTTTAAGTATCAATTGCCCACATATATTTTGACTGATTTGAAAAATAGGGAAACTCTATTTTCTGTCATAAATTTATACGTCATTGAAGTACTGAATGATGCATAAAGTATATGTATATAAATTTACGTTAACACATGTTAGATTAAGTTTTGCTGAAGTAAAATTGGGTACCTGGAAGTGGCTCTTGTTCCAACCGTCCTTAGTCAAAGTGTTTCTCAGCTCCTTGTAGCTCCACACCGTCTGCAGGACGTGCAACGCTGCCTTTGTTTCGCGAGCCGATTGGCTGAGGGGAGCGACAAACAAAAGCGGTGCATAAATGAGGAATTTACAAGAGCAAGAAAGCCAATCGAAACGCCCCCTCTCCTGACGGTGACAGTTGCTGTGATGGATCAGTGCGGCTGCGATCAATCTCTTTATTCAAAAGGCTCTGCCTCCACGCCTTCGGGCTTCGGGCTCTGCTTTTTGTTTTTAATTCATAACCTGATGAGGGCCTGTTTCCTTTCATTAGTTACCTCTGAGCCACCGGTGTTAATTAAAAAGTGGCTTGGAGGGTGGCTCGCATCAAAGAAAGCTAACCTCAGGAGGCCCAACAGAAACTCAAGCTTCTTTGTGATGGAACAATGTGTATTTGCGGTGGTTAGCAGCTGCCAATATGATCAATACGTCCTAACACAATATTAGGTCTTTGAAGAGGGCTGGTAAAAGAAGAGGGTAACTTGGGGTATGTCGGTCCTCTAGTGATTAGAACCAGCCTGAAATCTGCAGATTCAAAACTCCACTACCGAGAACATTGCCTCCAGAGGTAAAAGCCTATTAAATAATTTGTGGTAGGTAGAAATGTATGCAGGCTCACATTGTTCACCATGTGAAAGGCAGTCTTACTATTAGAGATAAGTTATGTTAACCTCGATCAATGCCAATGAAAAGCTCATGATGCAACTAGCTTTCAAGGCCTGACCAGAATTATCACGCATCTGACGTCTCTTTCATACACAGACTCCTACGTGATTGGCTTAGATAAACACGCTCTCCGTGAGTCTGGTTCTGTGTGATCCTTAGTGCCCTGCACAATACAAACACATCAAATCTTTTCAAGCATTCACGTCTGGTTTGTAGTGTAAATATCTCAGTGCACTTGAAATAAGGCAACAATACCTGTCAAGGAATTTTTTTGCAAGATGCAGAAGGCTGTTTTCAGCCAGTAATACTTTACTATGGATTAAAAGAAACAGTACTAGTTCCACTTGTAACAAGACATTTTTCCCATGCCATAAGTGGAAAAAAATATGCCAGTGGAGCTAGATATTTTTCATCATTATTCGGGGGTTATTGGCTAAAAACAAGCTCCTATATTTTTCTTAAAAGTTATTTGTCAGTTAGTTTTGTCTTATTTTCAACAGTTATTTGCATCAGAAACTAGACAAAAAATACTAGGTAAGAATGTGTACTCTTATATTTGGTCACACATATCAGTGGATAATTATGAAGTGGACGAAAAAGAATTCATAGTTTTGAAACATTTATACAGAAGTAAAAAAGTAAAAAAAAAGTGCTTTGAGTTCCATTTACACTAACACAATACAGTTAGTGTTGGCACTTTAACACATTCACTGTGATGAATGTGTTAAAATTTTTTTGCAATTTAAATCTTTTTTCCCCCCCAACATAGAAAAGTTCAAAAGTAGAACCTTTGGCATGTTTCTGGTATGTTTATAAATCTGATGCAAAAGCGATATCTGCAAACAACAGCAATGGAGGACAAAGGCTCTTGTCTTGTATAACTCTAACCTAAACCCCGAAATAAAATGTTCTTCGCCTCTATATGGGTGAATACATTTCCAGGGCTTTTGTAGAAGTACTTCTACAAAGTATTGACCTATAAACAGCTTCTATATACCACCTTTCAATGTTCTTCCACTCCCCCACTGCTTTGTGCTGATCGGTTCCCAGCTTAGTATTTTGGAAATCTTCACCTGGTCCTGTTGATGGCGACCAGCTTCTCGATGGCCTGGGCCTGGATGAGGGAGCGAGCGTTTTCCGAGCTGTCCGTCACAATCTCGTGAATCGTGTTGAGGATGGCGACCACGGTGTCCTCCTCCAGGTTCTTGGCTGGTCGCTGCTGGCCGCTGGGCAGGTTGCTGACAAGGTCCCGCATGGCGTAACTTCCTGTGAAGTCGAATTGATTACAAAACATGATTAAAACTTAAGGCGTGTCCAACGTAGCCTTTCAATCTTAACATCAAGGAGAACACGCCTGTACGGTCTCAATGCACCTCACTCAAAAGATTCATACCTATCAGATCCTTGTTGCGCCGGTCGATGGAAAGGTTGCGCAGGGCGATGGCCACAGCTCGGACCACCTTGTCAGAGTCGGAGCGCAGCAGCTCCACCAGGATGGGGAGACCTTTCTCCTTCCGCACTGTGGCTCGGATGTAGTTGGACCACTGGAAGACATTGGGGGTGTAATCTTTAGCGTTCTTGCACACAAAACTCCACATCACTCACTCCGCAGCTGCCAGTTTGGCGTCTCCTGCGCAGCGGGGCTCTGAACGGACACACGCTTTAATTTGTCTGAATTTAAACATCACTGGGTTTTACTTCTTCTTGTTTTTTGTAGCATGAAACATTAACTCTGACATAAAAGGGATCTTTGCTACCCCAAGAGATGCAATTAGGCAGAGAATGGGAACGCCTGAGCCACCAGGTGGCAGTAGTGAGCTGTGGAAAACATGAGAGAAAAGGAGGGGAAAAAATAATTTTAAAAAATCAGGGAATGATTGTGGTTGAAAATCTGATATTCTCTCGAGGTTCAGGATTTGTTTTGTTAACAACAATGTGTCAGAGACTCCAACGTGCTATGGGCGAAAAAAAACAGCTGCTATTGTGGTTAATTCAACAGGAAGCCAACTTAAATCTTAACTGCGAGTCAATACTAAATCATCTCAAATCTGAGCACATTCCACAGGAACTTAAAGTTAAAATCTGCTGAAGAGAGGCGCTCCGGCACCGACGCCCGGGCGGGCTGAGCGCAACCCGTTAGCACTCAGGCCGCCTGAGTAGTTGGAACAGGGCGGCGCAGGTGACCGCTCTCGCCCGAGGTGCTGAGCGTTAACGTTTGACAGCCAGGCCTTTCCACGCTGATAATTTGCTGCAGCCTCTCTCTCTCAGTGGCTCCACAACCGCTCTGATTGGAGTGACTACCTGACTGCTGCTGGAAAGCCACTCTTCTCATCCAGCGCAGAAAGTCCTGGGAATGAGTGTGGGCTGCAGCTGTTATCTAATCACGTCACTTCAACCAGATGGGAGGTCCTGAGGTAGATTGCACCGTTTTTTTTTATTTTTATGTTTTCCTTTTCATAGACAGGGCCTGCGAACTAGGACCGGGAATTTATTGTATAGTTCATTATTTGTCATGATCAATTTCTTATCATGACAATCATAGGAAGAACTTTGATTTATTGTTCACTGTGAATTCCAATTAGCGACACCCGCTGCCAAAACTGTTCATATTGTTGGGATTGTTAGTTTTAGTATTTTGTCCACATTTTGTTCAATGATAGTATGAATGAATATCAGTATTTGTGTTTGTGGGGCTCTTACTGCTTTTCCTAACTGTCTACCAGTCACCTTTATGCTAAACGCACATCCAGCTTAGCATTTAGCTCAACTCTGCTGCTGCGTTTAGTGCTCATCCATGCCTGTCCTCCGCTAAAGCGCAGTGGGATGCCATTTATCCCTCATTAGTGCTTCCAAATGTAAAGGTTGCGCCACCGAAAGGCCACGACCAACATCAAAGTTTGCAGAAAGTGTGCAATTAAGCAAAAAGTCAGTTTGAATATGGCGTCTTGTTTTCGTACCACTCCCACCCCTCCAACCCGAGGACTTACAGTCCACTGTCCAGCGCTGAGGTTCTGCAGAGCCCCTGCAGCCGCCTCCAGGGTATTGTAGTTCTGGCTCTCCGTCAGCAGAGAAAGGTAGAGCCTCACCACTTCGGGCTGGTACAGCAGCTCGAAGCCTGTAGGGGAGCACAGAGGGACAAATTGGTAGGAACCGCTGGCAGGGCAAAAGAGGCAGATGGGCTTAGTGGAGGAGCCAGCAAACGTATTACAAAAGTTTTCTCACTCAGAGTCCTTCTGCTCAACGAGAGAAAAGACGCCAGTGGTTGCCATAATGCACAACACCTGCAAAATGGCCGAACATTTGGGTCGAAACGCTTTGTTTTCAGTGAAAGCTTCAAAATACGAACATGAAGAGAATCTCTTAGCGGAAAATGGCCAAAAATGTTCCACTTCGCAACACAAGAGCAGCACCGCCGAAAACACTCGAGCATTACAGAAGAACACAAGGAGAGATTATTGATCCAACTTTCAAGTTTGAACCCTAGTATTTGAGAGGGAGTCTTATCTCACTAACACACAAGACATCCAGCCACAGTCGATCATTATTCCTCTCTCTGATGGAAACCTAATTACATTTATCAGCTATTAGACAGAGCAGGCGCAGTGAGGGAGGGAGGCAGAGGCTTCTAATAAAAACTGAAATCAAATTCATCCATCAAAGGACTTTGTTTTTTTTTTTTTTTTCTTCAAACAAATAGGCTCATCAGTGTTTCGCAAAGAACCAGAGCAATACAAAGTTGTACAATTATATGGAGGTGACAACTGAACAACATGGCCTTAAACTGCTAAGGTTTCTTGAAGGAAGCAGAGACAAACCGATACAATCAGGTGGCGAAAGGAATCGGACAAATTTGAGCTCGGAAACCTAAAATTTCAACCGTGTATGCATCATGTCTAAATACAAGCAGGTTGCTGCAACACTCTGGTGTGGAAGATGCCACTGTTGAAAGAAGATTCGTCAGCTATTGGAAATCAAATGTCACTTCCAGAAATTAAACTGTAAATTTTTGGGAAGACAAAGCTAAACTTTGGTGGTTTCTAGTGGCTCCGTTCCTTTGCCATTTTGTACTTTTGCCTTTTTAGTTGAAAAAGTCGATGCGAAACGAAGCAAATGGGATTACAAATTGTGTATACCTTGGGAACAAGTAGACCAAGAGCTAAATTCAGCAGATACACTGCAAGCTAAAAGTATTACTGTAAGTTACATTTCTTTCCCTTTCACCATATCAACCTGTGGCTGTTGCAGAAAATGCCACATACAGAAACTTTAGCAACTTTTGCTGGATAAAGGAAAACAAAATTTATCAATCATAGCTTACATTACATGATCTTTACAAATGTGCTTATGTCAAAAGATGCAATGGTCAAATGAGTTAAGGAGTCTAAGACAAAACCCCAAAAGGAAGGCCGTGAGTTTTACAGATTAGCCTTACATTAAAATTTAACCAAACTTCTCCTCACCATGCCTAATGTTAGAAGATATGAAAGTAGTGAGTAAAATAATCTTACATAAACACAACAGCCTGTTTATTCTCGACCACAGCACATTTCAGATTTGTCTCCTCGAGGCTCAAATGCAATGGAATGTGACTGTGTTTATTCATGTGTTCTGAGGCCAGCTTTTATATGAAAACCCTTCTATTTATGTGGGCACCATTATATAGGAACCTTGTAGGAGAAACGCACAGACCAGCCAGGCTCTGAGAACATTTACAGTCATAAAACGAAGCTTAGTTTAAGTATGAAAGTGGACGCTCCTCTTTTGGAACCGTTTATTATAGCAGAAGAATTAGAAAAGAAAAAGCAGAGGGGAGTTTTGTGCTTGGGAGGTAACGGAAATATAAAGTTAAACTTGTGTTCTTAAATTCATCCAAATCCCACATCTCACACCCTTCATTTGCAGAGAGCCGCGCGGCCTCGGCTCCCCTCTAAGATTGCCGCATTCAGACACGGCAACATGGTTGTTAACACTCGGGAACTGTGGTTTACTTCCCCGTGGCGTTTCCCTTCAAGATCCCTCCACCAGAATGTGTGTGGGAGGAACTGCCAGATCGGGCGAAAGTAACTGAAGGTGCCGTCTGAAAAACGTTGAGCTCATTTTCAAAGACCTGCCCTCGTAAAAGCTTTAAGGCACAATCTTTTCCAGCACAAGAAGAGAAGTGCCTTCATTTTCATACCTCCGTCATTTTGACCTGTAAAAACTCAAGGTGGTACGCGAGCGTTTCTCGGGGAGCATCGGAACGATTCTCGGCAAAGCAGCGCGACCGGGAGACGTGTGAGCATGACCGGGAGACGATTCATGTGCTAGAACATGAATCGGATGAAAAGGTTCGCTCATGGGCAACGCCAGAGAAAGGGGAACATGCGAACCCCTCCACTCAGCAACATTCTGCATTCGCCTCGTATTTCTGGCCGTACTGGGTGCAAACTCAGCAGACTGGAGTCTGTAGTCTGCCAGGCCTGTTGGAAGACATTTCATCTCCGGAGCAGATTCTGTCTGAGGAAAAACAAGTCAGGCGCATTGAACTCTTACAGTAGCATGGACTCTATACACAGTCTACGTACAGTACATTGTACTAACGTTAAGCCGTCCTCATTATGCCTTCCTTAAAAGAAACAAGATATTCATAAAATCTCAAAGTGCTCCTCTAGCGTTCTGCAAGTGTTCTGAAAGCCTTTCAACGTTTTACTTTTGGAATCTCATTGCTAAATTGTTCAGTCTGTGCAGTAAGTGAGACCTTCAAGAAACAACAACAAAAAGAAAATACACCAAAGATGATGTCTGCCCCAGTTGTGGAAATTTCTTATGCACCAGAATGAAAAAGTCCTCAAACTCTAATCTGTCTAGAACAGGGTTGTCAAACTCCAGTCCTCGAGGGCCACTATCCTGCAGTTTCAATCATCTGTGGCTGCAGCGAAGGCTTCATGTCACCACCTCCGGTTGGTTCTGGTCAGCCCTCTGCCAGTTTGCATTCCTGGCTGTGGTGAACTGTGGTTGCTGTAGGTGCCGGCTGCCCATGAAGCTCCGATTTGGAGTACATGCAAGCAACATTTTTAGTGAAATAAAAACTGTATGAGCACTGTGTATCGGAAGAGCAATTTAATTAGCAGAATGTTCCATAAGTGCAGATATTAAAAAGCGATTGCAGTCTGCCGGCATGACATTTAAAGTAAAGTCAATATAAGCTATTATTATTAGAAAATAATAGTTTAAGAAGGTGTTTGCTTTAAGCTTGATTCAAGGTAGCATCTTCATTTGTGACTCTTATTTTGAAGTAAGAAAGGATGTAGTTCTGTTTGTTGAGCTGGCCAACAATATTCTGTTATAAACAGCAGTAAGGAAGAATCCAGCTCTGTTTTATCTCCCTTTTTAATGCAGATCATGACAGAAAATAAAAACTTTGGCAGATAAGGCAGGAAATCTTCCTGTGCATTTTGAGAATCCCGAGACCAGCTAATTGTTAGCCAACACATGTGAATAGTGAAGTTCACATGTGCTTGATATCTTCTTTCCATTGCTGGCCTAAAGGGCTATTTCAGATTGTTTTAGCATTTGATCATTTCTACAGTAAGACCAATGGACCTGGATAAAACTGACTATATCTATAAATTTTTAAAAACTTGTTTTGTTAAATTCTTAATCAACTGATGAACAGAAACGGACCGGTCTTTGAATTCTTCACTCTGTTAAAAAAAAAAACATTTTTATAGGGTTCCCTGTAATATTGGCAAATTATGATTTTAGTTTACGAATCTGACATTATGTACAGTTTCGTCACGTACTTTATATAGCGTGTATTATAGTAGCAGATCTAAATGACTGGTGCAGCAGTGGCAGGCTGCTGTTTTTACTGTAATGGCAGTAATAACTCCAGTGTGTGTTGTTTGCTCCACACAAAATGACATCTAACTACCAACCAAAGATGAGCTTTTAGTTGCCATAGACACTGAAAGTGTAAAATGACTTTGCAGCGTCATGGTGTAACAGGCACTAACAAGTCTTCTGCTTTTTTGTGTTGAAGTCATCAAAGAGTCACAGAAGCATGTGTCCACACAGAGGTGTATGTCTACAATGCGGGATTTCCACACTGGATCACTTATGATTACTCGTTAAGATGTTAATCTCGCAGCAGTTCAAAGACGGTATCCTGTAACATTTTGATTACATATTGATCATAATAAAACACAAGCCTCTGGCTTTCTGCATCCACGCCTTCGCCACAAGCCGAAAGCAAACGCTACAAAAATTATGCCATAAATAAAAAACATTAAAGCGTAGCCAGCATCACTGGCGGCTCCCTGCCAGCTCAGCCCCATGAGCCTATTTCCAACACTTGTATGTTGGTGGGGCACATCACACACAGCTGTGGCCTCCTTACGGAGCTCCTGCTGCGCTCTGATATACAGCAGTGCACGCAAAGACGCCCAGCAACTAAAGCTGGGCCACACAGTTGCAAACGGGCACGTGGCAGGAGAAAGAGCCTGAACGAGGCGCGAGTGGGAGGAGCTGCGGGCTGTTTCTCCGAAGCGGAAGACGACGGCGACGACTCCTGCAAATCGAGGCGTCGCTCAATTAGCGCCGGAGGTCCCGAAGATGAGGAGCTTTGTTGTGCTCCGGAGCACGAAAACTGGGTTAGAAACTAAGTTTGGTTCGAGTGATTGAGCGACGCCTGGTGAAGAGCTGCAGCAGTAATTGGGATCAGGCGGCTTCGCTACTGCCTCGATGTCTTCCACTGTGAAAGACAGAATGGTAAATGACAATGGATTCATTGATGCGCATGCACGTATCAATGTATGTATGCAAACACCGCAAAGACTAATCAGTATTCCCGCACGAGGGGGTAAAGTTGGAGGGAGGGGAGGCAAACGCCTCGCATTCGCAAATCTTCAGGGCTTTCTGTTTTGCTCTCACATAGTCGAGTGCATTCGAGCAAAACCGGATACACGCCTCTGCAAACAACTTCGTGCACACACCTAAATCCATAAACACACCAAACACTTGGCGAGGCATGTCAAAAATGATGTCCATCGATTCCGTCTGCCTACGTCCAGCTAGAGGTTCCTTCTTGAATTTGCACCAATGCTCCGTTTATTTACACCTCCTATTTCCAGCATG